CCAGATTTGGATTTGCAGATTTGGGTTGGGCTGGGCTGGGCGAGGCGGTGGATGGAGAAGAAGAAGGTGGAAATGAGTTTTTAATTTTAATTATTTGATTTTTGTTATTTTATTATAAAAAAAATGTAAAGTTACCATTTTAACATTTTGAAATTAGTCAAAATTATTATCAAGGTCAATTATTTGGTCAACTAATGGTCAAACTAACAGAAACTATCTATTTGGATTTCAACTGCGACATTTTGAAAGATTTGATACCGTGAATGACACAAATGAAAGATTTGAGAAAAGTCTTCTACTTAATGAAATGTTTGGTACCGCTGTTACAATTTTTCCTAAAATTTACTTATTCGTAAATCAGTTAGTAATTCAGCTATTAATATTAATGTTATATAAAATATTCGCCCACCCAATTTTATCCAACCTACCAAATTCAACCCAAACCCTACCATTTTCTCTCTCTCTCTTCCTCTCCCCTCTTCACCCAATATCTCACACGACGGGCAACCTATCGGAGCCGAAAGACCTTTTTCCCTTCTCTCTCTATTCTTACCGTCATCGGAAGACTGCCACTGGAAGATCATGGCCAAGCAGCACTTACAGCAGCTGACACTAGTGTTGATATAAAAACTGTGAACCGTAGCATCCGACGCTGTGAACGGTAGAGTTGCACAGCCCCTCTCGTTTCTCCGGAAACACACCATATCCTGCGAGAAGGCACCTCCGGTGTTAAGGCACGGTATCGAAAAAGCAGCCGCCGCTTTGTGTAACGTCGCGCAGTGCGACTCCTCTATGCACGAATGCATAGCAATGAGTAGCGTTGCGTTGTGCATCTATGGGCAGCGGTACTCCAGCTATTTTCGTAGTGATTTTGCCTGTCACAGATTGTGGTATTTACCTGATACACAAAGATCGATGGTTATTGTAGTGATTTTGCGGCATGTTTTGTTGTGATTTTTGAGGTAGGTGCAGCGGTGTTAGCGTCCGGTAGCGATGGGTTTGAATTTTTTTTTTGTGGGGGGTGGTGGTTGTTGTTTGGTTGTTTCGAGGGTTTTTCGCTCGCTAACAATTAAAAAGGGATCAGACGATTGTGTAACGGACAAACCTCTTGGAGCAAAGTCCTAAAAAGGGGTGTTAATTGAATATGAAGATTACAGTTTGGACACGAACAATATGCCTCCAAGGGGTGAAAGCACACAAGTACAAGAGAATTGAAGTAATTGAAAGTTAATCTAAGGAAAGTAAATTACATGTTCTCTGTTTTGAGAGTGAATTTTGTCGAGGTTTCTTCATTGTCTTCCTCTTTCTTTTATACGGTTTGGGCAATTTTGATCGTTAAGAAACTGCTTGTAACTACCCATTTCTTTCATCATGGTCGGCTGGCCAATAACTACCGTGTGCAACTCCTATCGCCGCGTCCTCTTCATAACTGCTTGCCATCAACTCTCTCAAATCG